CCCCCCCCCCCCCCCCCCCCCCCCCCCCCCCCCCCCCCCCCCCCCCCCCCCCCCCCCCCCCCCCCCCCCCCCCCCCCCCCAACCTCAGGAAAAGTGAAAAATTGTTTTCTTCAATTTTGTTCCGAAACACATGTACTAGATGCAGAATTTTACGTTAACTTCGATTATCATATTGATGATGAGAAAAAATTGCATGTTGGTGAAGAAAATTGCGTTTTACTCTCCGAAAATAATTCACCATAACAATTAGAAATAGTGCTGTCGACTGATGTGCATTTCTATCCTATCCGACTACTGTAATGTTTTTCGAATTTTCACGTTGAAAAATTACCGAGATTTTCACCCAAAACTGAAAATCAGCTAAGAATTTCGAAATACACATCAGTCGACTGAGTTTTTCATCCTGATTCTGAATATGATAGTTTTATTGCTCAAAAGTTGAGTTCTGATCGAGAAAACTGAGAATTACGGGTAGAATTCCGACTTTTTCGCCTCTGATTTAGAAAAAATGAATTTTCAAAAAAAGGGCACCATCTTAGCTTATTAAAATTGATACCATTGGATAGAACATAAAAGACTGCACATACCTTATTAGTTTCGCATTGTTTCCTTATTTTGTTTTCATATAACAGAGAAAACACTGCAAGTACCATCAAAAAAATCTCTGATTTCCTTCGTAATTTTCATTTTTTCGAAAATTTCGCATAACAATGTTATCAATATCAGTAAACAGATCAAAGTTGCCGACAAGAGAGTACAAAACCAGAAAATGCCCAATCAACGTCAGACACCGATAAGTAGCCATTGTCGTTTTTGTTCTTTGTTTTACATATGAAAATCAGCTTTTATTTTGTGTTAGCTTTGTTACTTCGTTTTTTATTCACAATGTTTTTATACTTTGACAACGAAACGTGTATGTGACAGAAAAGGGAAGAATGAATATATACTAATGCAATCGATACGATTGCACACAGAAGTAGAAATAGTTTAAAAAAAACAATTAGTAACAAATAAATACAATAAAAATAAGAAATCTGACGTGTCATCATCCAATTTCCATCGTTTACAACATTATCGTAGGTTGTGGATGATCGACTAAAATAAAAACATTGTTTATATTTATTATAATATTTTTATTATTAAAAAAGTGCGTACTTTCACTTTCGACTTTTGCGTGTAGTTTTGCTACATCACTCATCATCATGATATCTAAAAGAAGTCAATATGAACTTATTAGCAATTTACCCTAACAATTTTTATTATTACACTTACTAGAATATTTTTATTCAGATGAATAAATGAAATTTTTTCGCCTAATGACGTTCGATAATAATCGGGATACATTTTATGAATTCGGGATGGGACAATATTCTATTGATTGTTTCATATGCCTTTCGTTTCTTCACTCCACGTTGAAACAACGATAACCCACATATTAAGTTTTTATTACTCTTCAAATCGTAATACATTTTAACTGTTGCCAACTGACGTTCAAGTTGGATGAACTTTTTCAATAATATTCTCATTGGTGAACTTTGTTTTTCTCCATCAAGAATAACATTCTCATCAAATTCAACATTTTTGTGTGTTGTCACTTCAGCGATAAAAATAGCGTTAAATTTGATTTTTGCATTCGGCAATTGTGGTGGTATGATTAACGAAGATGAAAGCGAAGATGTGACAAGCGAGCCAAAGCGAGATATTTTTGTGGGCGACTGCGCATTTTCCATCGGCGGATGTGTATCCACCATGCCAAAACCAATCACATCAAATTGTATGGTTTCTGGATTAGTAAACTGTATAATGCCAATGTTCTCCCATTGAGCACCGTAAGTTGATGTTAAATATGAGTGCAATTTTGCGAAAAAGTTGTACATCGGTAAACTATGATCATAACGGAGAAGTCTCTCACACGGTTGTCCTTGTGTTGTATTGAATATTAGACCGTCATGTGCTTCGACTCGAACGCACATGGCCGGCATAACTGTCGTTTCATAAATGGCGTTCATTTTGTCACTGAGTTCATTAAAGCTGTGTCTGAGTTCACTAAAAAAGACTGATGCCTTTTAGTTCATTCAATTATGAGTTTTACCAATAAGGTTACGTTTACCATATGTGAAGCATCGAGCATTCACGCTTGAACCTTCAGAGAATGTATACCCGTGGATATTATCGCTCGGACCAATGGCAAAGCGATCTTACACCGAGGATACTCACATTTGTGAAGACATCAGTCTTTGAGGTATTTTCTCACTTGTGTGCATTTTTATTTTGAGATCTCGTACAATTACATATATGTACACAAGGTGTTCTCCTTCCTCATAAAATCTGTCCATAATTAACTTTGTGAGTTTTCCTCGATCATACGAGCTCTCGTCATGCTGCTACATACCATACCCATTAAACATTTCACCTTTGTGCACCATGTTCCCGAAGAAAAAGCCGGGTAAAACATCGTGCAATAAACATAGATAATTCAATTATTCACACAGTAATTAGTTTAATATATTTTATCTTGGAAAAGCGAGAGTCATCAAAGATCCGCGACCTAGAATAACAATGACTCAAACAAACTAACAAAAGTAAAGAGATAATAAGAGATATAACCCAGGTGGATGCAAATGAGATATTAATATGATGTAATTTCTTACAGTTCTGTCCTGACTAATATCAGAGATGGGCAAGTCTCAGTCATGACTGAGTGGGTTTTTTTCGAGACTGAGACTTGACTGAGACTGATGGCTTAATGACTGAGACTCGACTGAGACTGATGATTTTTTAAATCATGACTGATTGTTTGAACATATGACTGATTTCTTTAACTAGAAAGTGAGAGGAAAACAAAAAAAGGAAGGAGGAAGACAAATGGCGATGAAATAAAAGAAAAGTCTAGATGTTTTCAAAAAGAAGATATCGTGGCAAAGATTCACCTAGTCTAGACTATTTTTAAGTCTAATATAACAGAATTTCCAGTACAGATTCTGTTTCCAGCACTTTCAGAATATAATCAGGCATAGTACTTTTATTCACGAATTGATTGAAGAAATGAAGTTTGATCTCAACTCTCCGACTTAAGAATATCCCCAGGATTGTAGATCTGCTCTTTGTCAATGCTTTATCTCTCATAAACGTTTCCAGTCGAAACGGGCTTTCTTCTCGATTTTGTGATGAGATGTACAATGTGGAGAGCATTCTTCAGTCAGACAGTTGAGATCAAATATCTTCATCGATTTGTAGAGTCGCACATATCCTCAAAGATGGTTCAAATATTTCGTGATAAGATATGCATAAGGAAATTACTGACCATTTTTTGTACTTGTAATCAGTTCCTACAACTGTATAGATGTTTGAGGACAATTGCAATATCTTCAGTGTCCGTAGTTGTTATCGTTAGCATTTGTTAGCATTTATTATTAGTAATTTTTTCCTCTTTTCAATGCCCGACACACCGAAAAGTCCACTGGACACAATACTGAGAACTTCTAAACAACATTTCAAGAACACACAAAACGTTTTTAATGGTCTTTAATCTAAACTTTAGAGTAAAGTTTAATCTTGTTGCTTAGTTTCGTCTTGTACTTGTGTGTCATTTGTCGATTTTCGTTTTTTTCTGTTTAATTTGTTGAAGACTTTCCCGAAAACGTTCGGAACGAACCCATATATCCGCGACAGGCAATCGATGTAAAAAAGCCACAGTTTCTACAATCATAAACAGTAGTGCATTAGTAGTGAAGAGGAAAAAGAAGAATAAACTCCGTAAAACTGACACATGAAACTAATCAGTAATGAGCAAACCCGACGGTTCTTTGCTCTCACGATTTCACTGGATTGGCTGCGATACATTATTCTGTACAATGAATAGTTTTCTAACTGACATGTCGAAAGGTCTCGAAAGAAAGAAAATGGAGTCGCAGAGAAAGCAGCGGTTTCTATTTAATAGCTAGCTTCTGTGGGAGGTGATTTTTGAAAAAGCTTCTTTCGTTTATAGGTTCTAAACGTTTTAATATCGGCACGTTTATTCCGTTCGGATTGGGGGACTTTTTCTATTACGAACGTTTCTCTTTTTTTATGCGAATGATGCCATTCAGATACACATGCTGTTTTACGGAATGGAGAAAAACACTGGTCCAAGTAGAAAAAAGACAAAATCGACCCAAGTTATTGCTGGCAAAAATATTTTCTAAATTCTCAGGAATCTATTAATCCAATAAATTTTAGAAACCTCCCCAAAAGATTTCAAAGTTATCTCGTTAGATATGCATCAAGTACGAGTACTACTTGAGATACTAGGACTCGATTACTCAATACTCGACACTATTCGATTGTTCCTTAAATCTATTATTAAAACCAAAATATAAGACCGTTGGCCATTCTATGAGATATCTTTCAATCATCAGAGAGCAAAAGGTCATGTAAATCATAAAAATATTGATCCAAATGCCATACAATTATGTGGGCATCGACATATTCTCATATTAACACAAAATCAACAATTTAAATTATTCCATTGACTATAAGTCTATGGTTATACGAAACAAATTTGGTCATACGAAAATCTAAAAGTGTTTGTGTGTGTTTGTCCGTAAACGGATGTGACGGACGTAAGCACACACGGTGACGAACGTACATCCTCATAGTCATCTGATGAGTATGACGGACATACATACATATAGTCATGTGGCAGTGTGACGGACGTACATCCATATAGTCATGTGGCAGTGTGACGGACGTACATATATATAGTCATGTGGCAGTGTGACGGACATACATCCATATAGTCATGTGGCAGTGTGACGGACGTACATATATATAGTCATGTGGCAGTGTGACGGACGTACATATATATAGTCATGTGGCAGTGTGACGGACGTACATACATATAGTCAGGCGCATGTGACGGACATACATTCACGAAATCGTGGCGTTATACCAATCGTGTTTCTGCGAATGGCACTTATGGCGATGGTATAAGTGTGTCGATTTTATGCCAATGGATATAAAAGAAATTGTTTACACAAATGTTGTGAAAAACTCCAGTATTGATGTATAAAACAGGAGTTATACAATTGGCATAAAAATCGGTTTTCTTACACCAATCTAATCAGTTCAGCAGCAAGTGAACTGTTTTTTTCTAAATACTGTAAAATGTTTGATATATTGTACTGCATCGATTTTTCACTGCATGGAGTGGAACAACTTATATATCAAACAGTTTCGCTGTGATTAGTCGCACAGTTGAAAGTGTTAGTGTACTGAAGCCAATACCTTCTTTTTTTCAACTCTTACACCAATGGTGTAAGTACTTTTCGTTTATACCCAAAATATTTTTTTTATATCCATTGGCATAAAAAGGAGACACTTATACCACATTCACATGGGTACATCCATGCGAATTTTCTGTGGAAGCAGAGAGGTGCATTTACACCTATCGTGGCTGCGAACGCGGACCGAAGGGACGCGTGAGCATTGTCGCGAATTTAGAAATATTTTTATACCTGTGGGCTTCTTTGGGGATCTCGAGCAAGCTTTTGTAGATTTATACTACATTATGAAGCTTACACATCAAATCAGAGATATATTCATAACATATTGTAGATAGGCGCTAGCGAACACCGACCGAAGGGAGGTGTGAGCCTTGTGTATGATTCAAAGTCATTGAAGGACATTTGTACATTGTGTGACCGACGTACGTACCCAGAGACATTAGCATGACGGGCGTACATATACACATATTGTGGAGAGTCGTGCATAGACAGATTTCATAGCTTTTTGTGGATAGTCCCCTAGCGAACACCGACCGAAGGGAGGTGTGAGCGTTGTCTTTGATTCAAAGTTATCGAAGGTCATTCGCAGACATAAAGTTCCTAAAGTCAAGGGGCAGAGAGAGTGCGGACGAACGCTGACTTGTTTGTTTATCTAGGAAGTGATCAACAGTGTGAAAAACTGTCACGTTGCAGACGAGCGCTACTTCTAACTGGTAGTTCAACAGAACTATACCACTAGCTGACCGGCTCCCGAGCCGAAACTTCAGATCTCCGAATCTTAATTTGTTAGGGACAGTGTTAGGATGTACGTGCAGCAATATATCGAAAATGCGGTAAGGACGTGTGCCCAAGTGAAGTTGTTGTACAGTTGGGTTGTCCTCAGTTGCGCTAAAATAAAATCGACTTACAGTCAATGGACCGAGTGAATCCATATGATTCACGTTATTTATTAAAATATAAATAAAAATGATAGCTACATGAAATTGAGAATCGATGAGTGATAGAAGACACTCTCTACTGTCTTTTGAGTTTAGGACGTGGAAATTATGATGATTGAAAGATATCTCACAGATGAGTTTATTTAATTTGTTTGGCCTGATAATTTATGGTGATATGTTTTATTTGTATCCGCTGTACTTTGTGATCGTTCCCACAGAATGTACACACTGAATATTATAATTAAAGTTCATTTTCGTTTTACTAGACTATGTACGAACTTATATATTTGTAAGAAGTAGTTTGTACGGTAACTTTTTCTCATTTTTTTTCGTTTTATGACATGTACTCAGGAGAAAAAGACGCCCTATAAACTACCCATTAACTTCCAGTTTACAGTCTGCCTACAAACTGCCAGTTGACCCCCTATTAACTGCCTCAAAACCACTTAAAAACTGTCCTGTTTATTCGCCACTTTTAGGTCTGACAAAACACAGCCACTTCACTGTATTATTTTGCAAATAGGAAATAATTATCATGAACCTCCGGCTTATTACATAAATATTTATTTTCTATGAAAATTTTTCTAACACAAAAGTTTTTTCTAAAAATCTTTTGTTGTTCATAATTATCTAATCGAGATCTTTACAGCGGCAGGATGCCTGATGGAATTCCATGAAAAACACAGGTCAGAGGAAATTCGCCGTATACGGCAGTCGTAAACCGCTGTATTTCGTCGTAATGTTGATGTATATCGTCGTACGTAGCCGTATACGGTCGTT